TAAAAAAAAAATCTGGTTTTTAATGCCCGAGAGCAATAAAAACACTTGGTAAAAAAATCCTGAGTGAGGCTTTCATAATTCATGCATGAAAGGATTGTTGTACATTTTTTATTTGTGTGTGATGGGTTCCAAAATAAAATTTAAAAAATGTATCCGATTGAATGTTTGAGCAACCATTCATTTATCAGCTACAAACAAATACATGTTGAATTCTAGTTCAGATTAAAAAGTTTCCAAGTGTGAAAATCAATAACTAAATAACTCAAATATTTGCATTTTAGACAAATGAAATAAAATACAAATAAACAGAGTTATAGGGATTACTTTATTAAAAATAATATAAATATAGTGCTCAGGTATTGAGGCTTAAAGGTGAGGGTTGAGATTGGTCCACTACTGATCTTATGGCCCTTGGCATACATCCATCTTCATCCGATCTTTCTTGTTTCAACATGTTATCATTCTGTGCATAGGAATAGGTTTCAGAGCGTAACACTGCACACCATTTTTGACACATATAAGCTACTGTTGTGTGATTGCAAGAATTACAGAATAATAACATCTACAACTATGATGTCAGTCAAGATAATCGATTGACTGCGGGGGCAAAAGGCATTATTTTCCGCTTTACTTTTGTATAAATAGGCATCCAAAATGTGTAGAACTGGAAGCAGCAGTAACAACAACAACAAAACTTTGAGCTCTGAAAATGCTAATATTCTCATCATATCCTTAAATTAATCCTGTTTCAGTTGCAGAACAATACTCATCCAAACGTTGCCCTCGTATAACTTTTCAAGCCCGCCACAACCCCGTATAGCAACTTCAAACACATCCATTAATTTAAAGTGGACCCATCATGCTATATTTGAATAATATAGGACCATACCTATAAAAGGCATATTTATACTTCTTTATTTTTCAAAATACCAAACAGATCACGCATTTTAGCCATTCCTCATTTCGCTCAATTTAACACTGTCTTTGCATGGGCTGATTCTGTGAGAACAGCACCATCTACAGGCCTGGCATATGTACTACAGCGTCTCCAGCGCTTTCCAACGGCAATGTCCGTGGCTGTCTCCTCCTGATTGGTGGAGTTGGCCCAATAGCCGTAGCACCACTTCTGTGACGTCATAGAAGTGTTCAAATCTGGATCAGTCTGTATCAGGCTTGTTGCAGCCCCTTTTTAAGAGATTTGGGTATGGAGGAAAATAGAGAGGGTTGTGTTTTCTGACACTTGGTGAGTTCCCTGGAACACCGGGGACACATATTCATGTATACAAGACGTACAAAGGTGCATTTTGCATGATAGGTCACCTTTAATGTTTAATTCAAGAAACAATAAAGTCATTTCATGTTTCCATAGAGTTCTTTATTATATACAGCTATGATTAATTGGCAGTTGTGTCGATATGTGGATACAATTGGCGAGATCTTTCTTCATTCATCAGTGATTTGAAAAGTGTTTGTTCGGGTAAGCAGCAAGAGATGATCACTCTTCCCAGGGGCTCATGTCGGTGTCGATGGCCACGCAGTTATAAGCAGCGTAACGCAGCTTCTCCTCACAAACCTTTGCACTGCAGGCACAACAACAGCAGAGAAAAAGGATGGGATGCAAAAATGTCACATTAGTGTCAATACAAATATGTTTTAATTCAGCTCAGACCAGTTCCACAAAACACCAAGTTCACAGATTAAACTAACTTTAAGGGATTCACTAAGTATAAGACAAAGAAAAAACCTTTGAATGCACAAGTGAACATTTGAAGGAAACCCCCAAGAAGAAGACTTTAAGGGTTTTTTGTGCAACCAATTTTATTTTTAAGAAGAAATTAGCTCACAGCTGGTGTTTAACTTAGTGTCCTGCTATAGCTCCACAAACAAGTGCACAGTAAACACAACTGTACAGTAACATATTTTGCAGGAACAAACACATATCATCAGCGTACCTTGGGTAGTTGGGTAAATACAGAGTGCTGGAACAAGTGGACGAGCGTGGAAGTGCATCAGTTGTTTCCATGCTAAAAGAGAAAACAGAGAAATGAATACCATCTTCCTCTATTGTAACGTTCTTAAAGATCCGTTTTTGAAATCTACAATGACATTTTTGGGGATGCACTCACCCTTTATCAGGAAAGACGTAGATAGGCGCAGGAAGACGACTTCTACCGGTTACAAACCTCAGAAACCTGCTGCGATCCTCTGAAAACAGGGTTTAAAAAGTCAGTCAGTCAGTGTTTACATTTGTATTTTTTCAGCCTAACAAATGCATCCAAACACTTCAGGCTAGTTGATATCACAAGATGTTGAATATTCTCTGTAAAATATGGAAGAACGAACAGCAAACTGACCATTGGTGAAGCTCGTCAGTGCGTCCCATAAGTACTGCACTCTGACGTCACTCATTTCCAGGTCCTCATAGCGTGCTGGTGGGGAGAAAGAAACAAATGTATTATAATTTTGGCAGTGTTTGTTCGAAGATGATCAACAATCGAGCGTCTTCAGCTGTTCTAATTTTTTTTTTTTCATAGATGATTGTACGTTGATCTGAGTAAAAGCTTCTAAAAGAATAATTCTGATACATTGCTAGTTTTAATAACTTCCTCTTTGGATTAACCTCCTAATAAAGTTGTTTAAATAATCTGCTTTGCTTGTTAACATCCCTTTTGACAGTTGTGATGTTACTATCACATGTTTTCCAATCTTAGAAATCACAATGTTCTTTTAACTCAATTACATTTTTAGACTGAATTTGCAGTAAACAACAATTATTCTTAAGATGTGTCTTTTTGAGCTTGTTAGCATTCTGATGTTTAGCAGGCATATAAGCATCAGCTAGTTATCACTAAGCACAACTACAGCTGAGGCTGATGGGAATTTCACAAAAACAAAGTATTGGACGATGGCGCTAGATTAAAAGTGTATAAATCACTCAAGTTATGACAATACTCATCGATGGTTTCTAGCATGGCACTAAACGGACGGTGTCACTGAACACTCACTGAGTCGCTTCAGGGCTTCCACAGTGATCTCAGGGTCTCCACACACTTTCTTCTCCACTTCCTGCCAGGTGAGCATGTCCAGCACAGCCTGAGGAACGACCTTCAGCAGCCCCGCCTGCAAGGCTGCGATCTGAAACACACACACACACACACACACACACACACACACACACACACACACACACACACACACACACACACACACACACACACACACACACACACACACACACACTTCAGGGATTTAGCTGACTTTGGAACAACTAGCAGTGTGAAGAAAGGCAGTCCCACCTGCTGCCTGCTCTCCTCCAGCCGAGC